TCCTGGGGCTGGAAATATGCTCCCTGTCAGCTCGAGCTTGTCTCTCAGAGCACCGTGTGACCGTGTTTCATCGGTTCCTTGCGCAGTTTCAGTTGGGGTGCAAACTGCGCTTCCGGACTGTCTTACAACTGATAGGAAGGATGGCCTCCATGATCGCAGTGGTGCCGCTCGGACTGTTAAAAATGCGTCCGATGCAGCGCTGGACACGCTCTCACCGGCTGAGCAGTCACGGCACCTGCACAGAAGGCTGGCGATAACTGGTGCTTGCATGTCAGCCCTTCGACCGTGGAGGGAGCCCGGACTGCTGTACCGTGGGTCTCCAATCGGCAGGGTGTCCTTTCGCAATGAGTTGTCCACACATGCCTCTTTGAAGGGGTGGGGGGCAATATGTGATGGCGTAGAGGTGAGGAGGGTCTGGACATTAACCCAATCAAAGCTCCACATAAACTACCTGGAGTTGCGGGCGGTCCTGCTGGCTCTGAGGCATTTTTGCAGGGTTCAGATGAACCAACATGTTCTGATAAGGTCATACAACACCACTGCGGTGTCCTACATAAACAGACAAGAGAGCACTCATTCACTTCCTTTGCTGAAATTGTCTCACAAACTATTGCAGTGGTGCAGCGTTCATTTTCTGTCTGTCAGAGCAACTCATGTTCCTGGGCACCTGAATTTGGGGGCGGATCTTCAGTCCAGGGGAGGCCCACTGGTGAGGGAGTGGAGACTGCATCCATCCGTGGTGGTGCAGATTTGGCAACGGTTCGGCAAAGCTTCAGTGGATCTCTTTGCCGCCAAAGCCAACACCCACTGTCCCCTATTCTTTTCCATAATGGATCACAGCGCTCCACTGGGAGTGGATGCCCTGGCTCACCCATGGCCCAATGTGCTTCTGTATGCATTTCCCCCAGTGGAAATGATTCTGCCAGTACTGGACAGAGTACGCAGATGGGGCCTATCCTTGATTCTGGTGGCCCCTCGCTGGCCAGCAAAGTCATGGTCAGTGCATCTGTCTCAGGTTTGATGGCTGCTCCGCGGGGTGTGTACATATGTCCCATACTCTATGTGTTGTACCGAGTGAATCGACTGATTGGGAACATAATGTTATGCATATAACTACTGTTCCCTCAAGGAGAGGAACGAGGTACAACACCTTTTTCTGCCCCGCTGTTTCAGCTTGGCTCGGTGAAGAGCGGCCATCGAACTGAATAATGACTGTGATGAGGGTGTGTTTATATGCAGGCGGGGCCTGCCACCCGTCATCACATGTCATTTGCCTAAAGGCGTGATTAAAGGTGTCTTCAGTTAGGCCACGCGGGGGCGTGATATCCCATACACTATGTGTTATACTTCGTTCCTCTCCTTCAGGGAACAGAAGTTATATGCATAACATTACGTTTCTAAGTTTGGTAGCAGATTAGCGGAGATACTTTCAACCACACAGTATTTTGCATGCAAGTCAAAATCTTAACTTTTGGTCTCATCTGACCGGAGCGTCTATTCCACATGCTTGCTGCATCTATTACATGGTTTGTAATGGATTTCTCGTGAACTTCTTTCAAAAATATTTGTTCTTTTTGACAGTCTTCCACAAAGGTCAGGGTTGATTTTTTTGTTGTTGTTTTTTTGTGTGCAGGACACACAGTTGTCCAACCTACAGATTCTCTGGCCAGACCTGTGGATCTCTGCAGCTCCTCTGAGATTACCATGGGACTCCTGGCAGGTAAACATGTCAGTTTAGCGGAAAGCCATGTCTTGGTAGGTTTACTGTAAGATGCTCTTTCCATTTTCAGATGACAGACGGAACAGAGCTTTATGAAATGTTTAACACTTGGGATACTGCATTGCAGCCCGAAACTTTTTTCAATCTCTCCTCAGCTTCATCACTGATCTGTCTGGTGTGTTCCTTGGTCTTTGTGATGCAGTTTGTTCACTAATGGCCTATAAGAAACATTTGATGCTTTTTAAGAGCAGCTGGATTTATACCGAGATTAAATCACACACAGAAATAGACACCATCGACTTCTTAGCAGACTTCTAAAGGCAATTAGTTGCACTGGATTTTTACTCAAAGGCATCAAAGCAAGGGTGACTGGAAGACTATGCTATACTTTTCAGATTTATATGTGCAAAATAAAGTAACTTAAAAGAACTTGAACTGCTCCTTCCACTTCACATTAGTGTTTTAAATCGCATAAAATTTCACTACATACACGTAAAATCGAAACGGAAAAGGAGAGTGTGTCTGGAAGGCGCTGCACATACAGTAATCACAGAACCTGTATCATTAGTAACTCATCTGAAGGACATGTATTTCAGCTATGTGTATTTAAAAGTAATAAAATCAGGGGACTTCAGGGCTTAAACGGGATCGCTGTTTTTATAAGTCAAAAGGTTAATCTGGTCTCCAACCCAAACAGATTGTGTTTTAATCCGCTTTTAATCTGAACTCTAATGGAGACAAAACACCATCAGTATTAATATTGTAACGTGGCTGAAAAAACTGTTTATATCGCATGCTGATGATTTAAGCCGTAAATGCCGCACTGCACGACCATAAACAATTGCCAAAGCTGTATATGGAGACAATTTAATAGCAGACGTATATGTACACACAGTAGATTTTCAAAGCAACACACTCTGTCAGTGTGAGTGACTGTGCTTCTCATCCAGAGTTTGACTTGGCATTTGTTTTTATTTTTTTATAGAGGGGAAATATACACTAAGCTATAACCTTTATTGATTACACATTTCCCTCCAACAGTAATACACTATGCCTCTAATGATGTCATTAAAAGTAAACATCACACTAAACAACATAAGTCCAGCACAACAATGTAGAAAAGAAATTGAATATTTACTGCTGACTTTATCAGCTCATATATATATATATTTTTGTTTGTTCAGTCATTGGGGTTGTTTTAGCACATAATAAACAAAGCTCTCCAGCTCTTTGCATGAAAACAACAACAACTAGCTTTTAAGAAATTTGGAAAAGAATCCAGTATTCCCTTTTGCCATGTTTTGGAGGTTTTGGCTTGAGTCATATTGTTGAATGGTAAACCTAAACCAAAGTCCCAAACATCCCAGATGCTCCTCCATATTTCCAATGTTCTGCATTGGGAATAAATTCACAGAGAAGGGCTATTATCCATCTGTTTGTCCTTCCACTTATTCACATATTCATCCATCCAGTCTCCAGACCAGATGTCCTCTTCAGTGACAACTACTACAAGCATCTCAATGTTTCTGTAATATCACGGAATGACATTGTCAAAGTTGTTTTATGATAAACGTGAGTAGGTGTATGACAAATAAAATGAACAAATTAATGAAAGTAGCAGACTTTAACATAGATCTGCATTGTCTCTTTCATAAAAAACAAAAAAACAATAATTGCAATAATGTTTTATTTGATTTGACTTGCATCTTCCAAAAAAGACATACAGAACAAAAAAAAAACAAAAACAAAACATGGACACACACACTGATACCCATGGACAAATGACTCAGTATTTCTTTACAGAGTTATTATTTTTATTTTTTCATCAACATTTAATGGTTATTTTTTCCCCACCCCAAAACCAGTTCCATATTTTCAGTTTTATCTAAACATTTATGGATTCCAAGCCTTTTTTTTTTTTTGCCAATCTGAGTGTTTCCTTGTTTTCTATTGTTGAAATTGAGTGATATAACAATTTTTTTTCACATAGTCAAAGAAAAATGTGGCAATTTACAGGTAACTAATAAAAGTGGTCCAAAAACAAAACAGTGTGATAAAGAGAGAAAAAAAATTTACATATAAATTAAAAAAAGGACACACGTAATGAAAGCGCATAATAATGATAATAATACATAAAACTATTCAGATTACGCTTTCTTGAGAAAAAAAAAAGCATTTTGTGGTTCCAGTTAGGAATGTACTGCCACGATCGAGTGACTATTAATTATAGCTATTTGTATTGTTGTTTTGCTAAGGAAAATAATGTCAGGATCTTGCTTTATTTGAGTTATTTTGGAGTTTGTTTATTTCTGTGTTCCTCAGTTTCTTATTTTCATTAGATCAGACCCCCCCACCCCCTCTGTTTTTTTAGTGACTCTGGTTTATGTTTATTTCTTTTGTCAAGTCATTCTTTCTTACTCTCCTTTAATTATGTTTCTTAAGTCTAGTTATTCTTTAATGTTAGATTAATTTTCCTCGTTCTTCTGTTCTCTCTCCTCTCACACCTGCTACCTGTTAGTTAATTAGCCCGGTCTATTGTTCCACCATTCACACTCCAAGAATTTAATCACCTCTTTCTCATCCCTCCTTGGTGACTCTTCCTGTAAGACCTCGTTGCTTCCCTCGGCTTATCCTGCTGGCTTTGTGTTCTGGATTCTTGTTTTTGTTTGCCTCTGGCTCCCAGTGTTCACTGTTTTTTTTGTGTGTGTAAGTTTTCAGTTTTATCGCTAGATAACATTCAGTATAATCCGCGCTCCCAGCTCCTGTCTGCATTTTGGGCCCACTAACAAACAAACACATCATGACAAATAAAACCCCCCGTTTTTTTATGATCCCAAATATATTTCTAAACGACAAAAAAAAAAAAAAAAAAAATCTTTTTTTATTTCTTGACAATCGCTTTAAAAAGTCAGAGTTTGTAAAAACCACGGATTTTAACTAAAGGCCTCCGTCTAACTGACCTTTCCTCAGACGTTTTTTTTTTTTTTCTTTTTATCTGCCAAAATCCGAGATGACCTATACAGTATCTACCAAACAGAAGAGCAGCAGCAGGAGGAGGAGGAGCAGGTTTGAGCTCAGTCATGATGAAGTCAATAAATAAGGACCGCAGAGGCGAGTCGAGAGGAGGATGCTCCGCCTGTCACCTGTGAGCGTCCCGGACGTGTCGGTGCGTGTTTTGCAGCGCGGGTCCTGTAGAGAGCAGTAGATAGTTTTAATAAGTGCGGCTCCTCTTACTGTACAGCACACAGTGCAACGGAGGGAGGAGCGACAAGCGTACTGTTTCTTTTTTGGTTCTTTCCACTCCACACGCGCACGGTCGTTGCAGTTCATCCAAACGTGACTGTAGGACAACAAAACAGGAATCAAACTAGGAAGCGTCGTTGGAAAGCGGACAGGAGAGTCTGTTTTTAAACGGTACGAGGCTCGGCAGTAGCGGCCAGGCGGCGGACCGAAGCTCCGGAGAGCGGAGGTGTGGCGTGGGGGGGGGGGGGGGGGGGCAACCCAGCCCCGCCGTTACACACTTTCTACAGCAACCCAGGAGGAACCCGGCTGACTTTTTCTCCCGCTTCGTTTCCGCCTCATGACCCAATTCCCAGGACAACGTGGGGTCCACGGCGCGCGGGGAAACGGTGGGACGGTAAGTGTTGTTTTCGGGGGGGGGGGGGTTCGAAGCCTCCGTGGCAGCGTGGTCTGCAGGCGCTTCGGCGGCGGTAGCTTGTGTAGCCCGGGCTGGTTTGACAGATCAGCCCTGCGGCCGACGCACACCCACTCGTACGCGCACGCATACGGACTCGCACATTCACACGGCGTATTGAACGCTCCTTCTGTTATTTAACTCTCACTTCGCCGCTTGCGGAGCGCTAGTTGGAGCCCTGCTCTGGTTGGTGTTGTGACGCCGGGATCGGGTGCTGCTCTCTGGGCCCGGACTTGGACTGAACCGCCTGCTGTACTACGGGGCGCGCATGGTCCACTCACGCATGCACACGTGCACACACTTGAAGGCAGATCGACCCACTCACGAAATGCTGCAGACCGCTGTCGGGCTGCTCAGTTTTCTAATATTTCATAAAAGTTTCCTTCTATCAGAAGCAGTAGAAATAGTTCTATGAACATCTGAAAAACGCTTTAGTTGTAGTTCTGTGTCCAGTTCTTTAACGATGTTTTCTATAGATGCAAACTAACTTAAATGTAAATTGCATTTAGTCACAAGGTTCTCTAAAAGGTTGTGTGCTGCATGTTGCATAATGAGTCGTGTAATGCTCACAGTCTGTCGTTTTTATTGAATTCCTCAGCCCTGCAAAAGCATTTACGTTCGCTGACATTTTTTTTTTCAAGTTACAACTCCAGACTTTAAACTGGTTCCTATAGGGTTAAGTGTTATAAACTAACGCGATGCATAATTGCGAAGTAGAAGTAAAATGAAAATGACGTGAAGTTTAAAATTGTTTGAAAATGGAATCCAAGTAGTTTGGCGTGCACTTGTATTCATTCCCGGACTTTGACTGGGTCATTCTCAGACATAGACTTGCTGTGATTTAAACCTTTCCGTAGTAGCTGTGGTTGCATGCTTGGGACTGTTGGCCTGCTGACAGATGAATCAGTCTTTTGCAGCCTTAAGCGTGTTTTCTTCCAGGATTGCCCTCTGTTGCTGCCCAGCATCCCTCTCCTTGCTAAACAAACTTTGCCCTGTGTTTAGTTGAATCATCTTTGCTGTTACCTTTAGATAGCCTTGCCCTTGCTGGAGGAAGGCATCTCCACAGCATGATGCTGCCGTCACCATACATAATCTGCTCCTTTGCAATATTCCATAAAGTCGAGGTTTGCGGAATACGTGACCAACAGTTTTCCCTCCAACCGGTTCTCTCAGCTGTGGTTTTCTGCAGACTGAGATTAAATTACACAAAAATACATGCATGCTTTTCCACTTAAGTGACTTCTGAAGTCATTTGGTTGCATTGGATATTATTTAGGTGTGTCAGAGTAAAAGGGGGTGAACTATGCAAGTCAAACTTTTCAGATTTGTATTTTAGAAAATGTATTAAGCCATGCGTCTTCCTTCTACTCCCCAATTGCGCATCATATTGTGTATGTCAAGTACAGTTTTAATATAATGCATTAAGGTTTGTAGTTGCAATGTAGCAAAATGTGAAGTTTATTATGAATACTTTTGCAAAGCATTAAGCTTATTGAATAACAGAGAGACCCCACCTTCTTGCAAGTTTTTCCCATCATGAATTCAGAGAAGATTTTAATGTTGCCAGGGGAAAATTTGGTAGCGCTTACTGCTTTCCCTCCCGTCGCCGTCTCCCTAACCCGGACCAGAGGAGACTCCTCAGAGAAATCAATGGCATCATAAATGCAGATCAGAAATATATTGGCCTCACACATTTGCAACTGTTTCCCCTTTAAAAGTCCTTGTCCCTGCACCACAGGCTGTGTAATAATTAAATCGCTCAGTGTTAGCACTCAATTCAAACTCTTGAAAGGGTGTGAGCTCTCTGAGCAGTGCTGCATTAATTTCATTTTGGAGTGTGCAGAGAGATGGTGACAATCTACACGCCGCGTGCTGCCACCGCGGCCGAATTCAGCATGCAACGGATGCGCCTTAGCGGAGCGTCGTTAACCCTGCAAGGTGAAAACGGTAGAAAGCAAATGGCAGAATGAGCATTAAAACCAAATGGATTCAGTCTATATGGCTTCACTTTTATGTCCTGCCCCTGATACCTCCTCATTAATCATTAACCATCAGTATAAATCCAGTCTTTCTACTTCTGGGTTGATGATTAACCCTATACAGGTCTGTCAATCGCATATTGCTCTCCTATAGAATAATCCGTTGAATATTTTCCAGCAAGTGGCAGCTAACGCGCCTTTCAGAGCTAGTCTTTAATATTCTGTAATCCACAAGTCAATATGTAGGTCTTGTTCTTCTTTTGGTGAGGAAATGTTTCAACGCTTCCAGGGAAAACACTCGGAAAATGCTGGCTTGGTTTCTCACGTAGTGATGTAACAGGGTAGCGTGAGGAAAAATGAGGATGGATGGAGCCCCATGTGACTTGGCCTCGTCTCCTCCTCTTTTCCTCAAGGCCGTGACTCCTTGCAGGAGATGAGGGTGACCTTATTCGGTCCCTCCTAGAATGCCGCTCTCCAGAGGGGCCTCTCTCTCCGCGACCTTTTCTGTGCGTCTTATTTTCTCCTCTCCTCCTTTCTAAATCACCTGCTACTATGCGGTAGGGCGTGAGCGATCAGCGCTTAGAATCGGTAGAGCATATTCTTATGTAACTCTGTTCTCTGCTCCGTTTCTGATGTTCAGTGATGTCAGAGTGTGGAGAGGCAAGCGGGATGCTGGGAAATCCAACGTGTCAGGAGATGTCCGCGCACGAAAGGCTTAGTTTCACATCTGTCTCCCTGGGATGGCTTTAGAAGTAAAACGGTGGATAATGAACATAGTTTGATTGGATCTTTGTTGTGGTGTCTTGGTACGAGAAATGCCGCTGACATGACACCAGCGCTATGTTTGGAAAAGCCTTAATTGTTGTTTCGCTTTTGAAACTGGTGGGTAAGAGGTTGTGCAGTGGCAGAGCTTTCTCAGTATTAGAAAGGGATGGGCGCTGGAAAAAGGTTGCTGTTAACATAAAGATAGCTAATAGAAAGATAAGTGGACGAAAAAAGGTGATGCAAAAAGCAACAATAACTGCCTCCTGCAGGAGTATCAAACTGCACTGACACTTTAGACGTGTCCAACTCAACTGAATCAAATGGCTGAATCGGCAGGTGCCAAGTTCTATGAAGCCCTGCTAACCAATGGTTGCTTTTGTAGCGTTTAGGGAGTAACGTCCCTAAAAGTTGCAGGTCACTGATCCTTGTTGCCACTGTTTTTTCTTTTCTCTTTTCCCCTTTCATCTTTTTATTTTTATTGATTTATTTTGTCTTGTAAACTTGGGTGCGCTGGACACCGGAGATGATAAATCGTCGTTTGAATTTCACGTCCCATATTTTCCGTGAAATGCAAACGCTCCTGTCGTCTGCCTGATTAGCGTTTTCCGACCCTGGTTCTCACGGCCTGCCGCATAATTGATCCACATACTTGGACTAAAGAAAAATTCTCTTCAACTTAAAATACACATTGAAGTTTGTTAGGATGTAATCACATAAATATAATTACATATTTAAAACTTGATAGAGGAACTTTTCACATTTGCTGGAATTAATTAAAAACGGTGTAAAAATTGATCACCAGTTGTATGGTGGCTGGTTTGTGAAAGTGTGGAAGAAGACTGTGCACAAGCAATATGAACTCCAGTCTTAACAGTATTTTCAATGCGCATTTGGGATTCAGTATAGAATTTTAGTGTTTTATATAGGACTTAAAAAAAGTAGATTTAAAAAAAAAATCTTCTATAAACGGATAAAAATAGGAAAGTTTAAGGTTTTATCAAGTTTTTACTTTTTTCTTTTACTAAATTGCTTTGTTTGTTTTTAATTTATTACATAAAACCAATTTAAAAAAATAACATATGGTTGTTGCCAAAGATTCTTGCATCTGTAAGTGATGGATTTCAGCAAATCAGTGAAAAGTTGAGCGAAAGGAAAACTTGGCGGAATAAGGTGCACAAAGTACTGCGACATCTGTAGTTTTAAGAAGATTGTGAAGCAAAGAAATGGAAGTTGCATGGTATAGATTGAACAGACTATACTTGTATTTTGATAAAACCTTAGCATAAAGTGCGTAAAATATAAAACAATTATTTGAAATCTGATGTAAACATTGATGCAAAAGAGGAGACACAAACAGGCTAACCATATCTACTGTAGTTTTAAGTGGAAGAAATCAATACGAGATAATTTTGCAAGTAGAATATTCAGTTGATTGAGTGAAAATAAGAGGTGCCGTATGCTCTGTGGCCTTCCTGTCATGAAGGAAATTCCAAGTGGTTTCCTGCTGTAATATTTGGCACCGAGGCTAAACTCATTTGGCAAGTCAAACTACATTAAGAGAAAGGAATGCGACAAATCCTCCTGTACGATGTCGCGTGGGGGTTTTCTGCCGCACCAGAGCATCACTGCTGATAAGCACGCCGTCATGGCGAACACAACAAGAGATTATCAGCGGGGTTCGCACCGGCCTTCCCACAGACCACTGGAGGGTCCCACTGTCACTGAAATAATGTAACATCACAGCCCTCTGGCACACAAACACACTTTTGGAGGCATTACATCAGATCTCAGGCAGGAGGCAAGCTCCAGGTTTGTGGTTTGTTTGTTTTCATTTTGGCTCCTCCCTATTTTTTTTTTTTTTTTTCCTCGTAGTAGGTTGAGTTTCATTTTATTCTGTTAGAGGTTTTTCAGTTGTGTCTGTTGAGCGGCGGTTTCCATGCAGATGGTTACCGCATCCTCCCCCTCCCCGCCCCCGGCTTATCTGTCGCTACGTCTTCGTGCCATCAAACAAGTCCTCTGAGGCAGCAGGAATAATAAACTGGCAAAACATGCAGTTATTGGCCAAAACGGGCAAGAAAGACAGATTATTACGCAGCCGCCTTTTGCTCTTATTAGCACGAGTCAACTTGGCTCTGCTGAAATACCACTGGGGCCGCTCACAAACTGGCTTTCCATCAATGGGAATGCTTGGCACCGGGA